TAGAGAAAAACAGGGACCAGCAGTTAGCATAAAGGCTATGTCACTGGACTCCCACGTAGTCGACTGCAGTTCAAGTCCCGGACCCAGTGGTTTAAACCCACGCCAGGCGCGCGTGTGTGTGTGCCCAAGATACTGAGACGAGAGTGGAGGAGAAGGGATTGTGGTGTGGCCATCCACCCTGGGGGGTGATTTTTCGCTGTCTATCTCTCTGTCTCTCTCTCTACCTTTCTGGTGAGGAGTGCACATGCTCTATAGCAAAAACCTCTCCAAAAAAAGAAAAAAAAGAAAAGAAGTAGAGAAAAACAGGGGCCAGATGATGGTGCAGTGGCAAAACACAACATTCTGCCAGGTAATCCTACATGGGGAGGTTCCCAGTTCAAGTCCAGGGACTTCCCTGCTTGCCCATGATCCAGGGCTGAATGAAGACTTGGGGTGAATCATGGTGTCACGATACTATTGGGGCTATTGTTTTTCTCTATTTTTCTCTCACTCACTTGTGGAAGAAATAAATAACTTTTTAAAAAGACATTATATTGGGTTGTTGGAAAAGTCATGACGTATATTTGTTTTTCTATGCAAAAATGTGTCACGATTTTTCCAGCAACCCAATATATTAATAAAAGGTTCAATACAACAAGAAGATGTAACAGTATAAATATTTACATATCTAATTATAGACCATAAAAACACATGAAAAAACTGGCAGAACTGGAGAGAAAAAATAGACACTTCTATAATAATCGTTGGAGACTTCAGTACCCTACTGTCAGTAATTGATAGACCAGCCAGCCAGGCAATGAATAACGAAATGGAGGAAGAAGCACAATAGTCTGCTACAGTAGTGCCCCTTATCCAGCATTCTTTTCCACAGTTCCCAGTACCTGTAGTCAGCTGCAGTCCAAATAACAAATGGACATTCCAGAAATAAGCAACTTATACATTTTAAATTGCACACCATTCTTGGTAGCACGATGGCTTCTCACACTGCTCTGCTCTGTTCCACCCAGGATGTGAACCATCCCTTTGTCCCGTGTACCCAGGCTATATTTGCTATGCCCCAGGAGTCACTGAGTAGCCATCTCAGATTGAAAACAAATAGGTTATACAGGCACTATCTGCAGTTCTGGGTTTACACAGGGTCTTGTATCCTCTGTACATACACACAGGAAGATTGCTATAGATCTAACAGGTGTATGCTGAACACTCTACCCAACAACGGTGTATGTATCCTTCTCCCTGAACTTGGAACATTTTCTGGACAGACCATATGTTCTAAGTTATAAATTAAGTTTAAATGTATATATATACATACATACAATGGAATATTACTTAGTCTCAAGAAGGAAGGAAATTCTGACACATACTATGACATGGATGAGTCTTGAGGACATTATGCTAAATGAAATAAGCCAATCACAGGGCAAGCAGGTGGCTTGGTGGTTAAGGTGCTGAACTCGCACATGGCCAACCACAGCTCAAGTCCCAGACCTGGTGGCTTGAAAATCACACTTGGGTGCATGTGTGAGCAGGTCCCAAATCCTGAGAGGAGAATAGAAGAAAAACAATTATAGTGTGACCATCCCACTGAGTGATTTCTCACTTTCCCTCTCTGCATCCCTCTCTGTTTCCCTCCAGAGCACACATGCCCTATGGCAAAACCTAGAAAATGAAAAAATATAAAAGAAATAAGCCAGTCACAAAATGACAAATACTACATGAGTCCACTTGCATGAAGTACTTAGAATAGTAACAGAGACGGAACGTAGAGTGGTGGCTCCCAGGGGCTGGTAAGAGGAGAGATTGGGAAGTTAATGTTTAATGGGGATAGAGTGACAAGGGGAAACGAGTTATGGAGATGGATGGTGGTGAGGGTTATACTGTAGTATGAGTTTATCTATTACTACTAAACTGTGCACTGAAAAATTGGTTAAGGTGGTAAAGTTTGTGTTCCATGGATTTTCTCACAGCTAAAAAAAAAAAAAAGAGAGAAAAGAAATCAACCATTAGGAATTAACTTCATCAATTTATTTTATGTATCTCAAAACTGCTTTAGAGATTGACCCAAGTATCTTCATCTCCTTTCTTAGAGAACAAGTTGGCATTTAGCTATCCCATAGTGAAAAGTAGACTGGTTTCAGGTTAATAAATCACACTGTAAGTTCAGTTTTACTACTTAATAATGGTGAGGATTGTTTAGATTGATCTCACTGAGGTTTATTTTTTTAGCTTCACATAATTGTTGAGAATTAAACATAGTACATATCTCTTTTTTCTAAATGTGAGTGGCTTGCTTACAAATGTGTCTCACCGTAAGTGAGAATTGCCATGCCATAAAGATCACAGCATGCCTAAATGCAGTTTGAGAGCAAGACTGTTCAGCTTTTCAAATGTTCAAGATGGAGTGTTTGTGATAAGACACTGAAACAAAGAATAAGAAAAACAAGGAGCAAACTGTAGTGAGTTAGAATTGAAGAAATACAAGTGTTTTGTGCTTTTGCTTTTCTTATCTTCTAAGTGCTCTGAGAATGTAGAAGTCATACACTAAATCAACAGTAACTCCTTGTCCTAAAACTCAGGATCACTTCCCAATTCGTACCTACCTCTGTGTTGAATTTTTCGGCTGCCTTGTGTCTCTACATAAAACTCTGCACCTCACAGAGTGAACAGAAGCGCTGTATGGACATGAAAGGCCAGGAGATCCCTACTGTCTCTGACAGTTTACCTCATGTGGTTTTGTGGCCTAAGATGTACTTTTAAACCTTCTGAACCCATTTTCATATCTGTAAAATAGGATTGATAATCTCTAGCCAGAAAAGCTACTGATAGATACTACCAGACTAATAATAGTCAACTTAAACATTAGTTTTTACTCCTGTGATTTTTTTTAAAAAAAGATGTTATGAATCACTAAGAAAAAATATACTCCTATAGGAATCTCAAAGTAATAAAAAAAAAAACAGCAATTGCAATCAAATAAAAGCAAATTAACAATGACATTTTCCACATTTGTAAGTGACAGTGATTGAATATTTGTCATTTTAAACATTAGGAGACCATATTTAATAGCCATTCTAAGGCTACTTTTAATTAATTAAGGTAAATATTGGATTGTTAGAAAGTCACCACACATGTTTGCATAGAACAATAATTAAGACTTTTTCAACAACCCAATGGTTGGACAAGGCTCAGAGCCCTTCCAGGGCAAATCTGGAACTACTATGGCGACAGAGAGGCTTTGAGACTTTGTTCTGATGTATGTAATCACCAAACATTTTTAAGCAGCTGATGTTATAAATAATTGTACACACAAAAAGAAAGAAAAAGAAAGAAAGAAAGAAAGAAAGAAAGAAAGAAAGAAAGAAGGAAGAAAGGAAGAAAGGAAGAAAGGAAGAAAGGAAGAAAGGAAGAAAGGAAGAAAGGAAGAAAGGAAGAAAGAAAGAAAGATAGATAGATAGATGGGGGGCATTTGCTTAGAAGGGTGAAGGATGAGAAGACATAGTTGATGTCTTTAAGACATTAAAGAACATGCACTGTTCATTTTGTTCATTAATGACTGAACACTTAATGTTTATTAAATGCCAGAACTGGGGAAAATCATGCTTCTAAAACAAATTAGGACAACTTGTTTTACATGTTGAATTCTAAACACTGATGTCATTATCCCATAATAGGTGACAAGAATGTACACAATAGGAAAGGAAATTTAATATTTATATCAAGACAAAAACAAACTACAATAATAGCAAATACAATAGAAACTAAAATGGAGGTAGATAGGCTTTTGTAAGTTCAGATACATGTGTGACCTGCAGATTAAATATTTATTAACCAGTTGCAAAAGGTCCTTAGGATGGTTAAAATGTCATGTTCTTTCTTGGTTTAGAATTTTTCTTTTTATTGTAGAACTGAAGATGACCATGAATTAACACCATGATTTGCAAACTTTTTTAAAAAGAACTTTCTGATTCTGGAATCAAGGACTCTGTTCCCCTGCCTAGAGAAGTCTCATTCCTCTCCCACTGTATTAATAATCACCAGTGACAATATTTAGGAAATATTTTGGATTCTGAAGGGACAGAATCCTGATTAGTTTTCTTACTTGAAGAGTCTCGGAGAGTCACATCTCCAAACGTTAATCTTGCTATAACAGACCACTTTGGTCCAATGATGGTGGGATATTTCATACATCCAGTCCCTGGCATAGCATATTAGATGCATAGGAAAGCCTTCTTATCTGTTAAATTTAATCACAGGCATTCATTTTACTGACTCTAAGTCTTTCAGGAACAAAGATATGTGCTTTTAACTAATCGCTAACCTAAGAATATTTGAACTCAGCTATAACCTACAAGTCCCCATTTTCACATGTCCCACTTTTTTTGGGCAAGGCCAATATAAAGATTCTTATGCTGATTAGCAACTTTGTGTCTTCTGCTCCCAGAACTGAATAAAAAGAACCACTGTATCTAAGCACCCCAGAAACACTTTTGTGTTTTCCAGGCTTGGTGACTCTTATTTGTGCTTAGAATAAACCATTTTAATGACTTCTACAGAGCTTAGTTATTTCTATCAACAGTCCTCATGTTGGTGATAACCCCAAGAATTGGAAATGTTTCATTTTGTAATTAAACAGAAGTCATAAGCCAGGATGAAAGTGAAGTCAGAGGAAAAGAAAGTTGGAAATTGAAGACCCCAACTTGTTATTCTTCCATATGTGAAAAAAACATGGATTCATTTGTTCATATGATACTCTGGGTCACTCCACTTATACTTCCTTGTTTAGTCCATTGAAAAGGCCACATCAGACAGTGCCCACTCATTATCAACCCAGAGTGAGCACTTCACTAGGATGACCACACTTGCAGGACTGTAGTCTCATTGATCAGGACATACTGCACTCCTAATAGGAAGTGGCTTCTAGCCTATGTGTTTGTGGTGTTTACTCAGAGCACCCAATCATGAGTTCTCTCTCTGACTCTCCATCTCTCTATTCTCTTTAGGACTACTGGCTCTCTCTCCTTTACAAGCGTCTGATCGGCCCCAAAGTCTTGGCCGTGCATGTGGCTGGGCTTCAGCGGAAGCCTCGGCCAGGCCGAGTGATCCGGGACAAACTAAGGATTTATGCTCACTGCACAAACCATCACAAGTAAGTCTTCACAGAGATGGCACAGAAATGCCACCTCTCCTGGGCTTTGGCCCCTCTTGGAATTCCATGCTATTTGGGACTCCTTCAAGACTTGACTTATTCATTAATCTCGGCTGAAGATTGCCTCTGGAATCACCATACCTGTTCTTTGTGGGTTTTGAATCATTTTTGATAAATAGCTTTTTCTCCGAGTAAATCTCCCTTCACATAATTACAGGATTTATTCATAAAAGGTTCATAAAATGCTTGCCATTTGTTCATTTTCTTACTCAGCCAACAAATTTTTATTGGGCATTTTCTCCGTTCCAGTTGATATTATGCCCATAAGGCTTTTTTGTGTGCCTAAAGCCTGAGCCAAGGTGAGAGGTATAAAATCTTATCCTGTGATCCACCAGCAGAGCTTGAGGAAATAAATCTCCATTTCCAAGATGCATTTTGGAAAGCATACAACGAGAAACGTAGCCTAGATCAGTGTATATCAAATGTGGGGTCTCCAGAACTAAAGGAGTATCCAAAGGTACATGCCAGCTTTGAATCATTTCCAGTATTCCAAAAATCTTCCCAGCTGTTTTAAGGGTTAAGGAATTAAATAAAATCTGGGCTTTGTTTTGGGGAAGTCTGGACTTAACACATTACCCAGTATGATAGTACATGGCTGTCCTTCTCTTTCTCATCTAAAGTACTGGTTGTCATTAGAGTTGTCTTTAAAACAAACAGGAAAATGATCAGTAAATAAAGTTTGGCAGAGAAAAAAGTTTTAAACACAAAGGTCATAAGTGCCTTCAAACTGGCCCTAAGGAAAAATCCATCGAGCCAAATATGGCTGTCTTACATCATTTCCTACTTAAGACAGAATAGTCCGCTGCCTTGGAAAAGAAAATTCTCTCTCTCTCTTGCTCTCTCTTTCTCACTCTCTTTCTCTCTCTCTTTCTCACTCCCTCTTTTTAAAAACATTATTTATTCCATTGAGCAAGAGAAACAGAGAGTACAGAGAACAGCTGAGGAAAGAGACTATAGCAAGTATCTCTGGGCAGACGTTCATTCCACTCTGGCCTATCCGGGCTGATCAAGGGACTGGATAGCACAAAGAGCCTGAGTGGTCAGGTTACAACAGATGCTCCTTCTCCTTCCTTGATGAGAGAAGAGCCAAGCCAATTAATTTATCATGATAAGATTTTTCAAAGCATCACCCTGAGCAGAGGGGGGCCCAGGGCCAGTTATCTTGTCTCTAGATACAAGTGCCTATTGTGGATTAAGGGAGGCTGGTTTGGGCAAAGGCCAGAGGCTTTCAACATCCCTTTTGCTCCACAGGAAGCTCAATCCAATACCTGACAGAGAGTGACTGCTTTATGGCCTTGGCCTGGAGTTATCTGATCATTACACAAGGAAACATTGTATTCCTCGTCTCTGCCCTGACCCTGGGTTAACCACCCAAAAGGTGGACCCCCAGCCTCAAGAGAGAAAATTACTCTTGGCACCTTCTACCTCTGTTGGAAAGCACATCAGTCAGTGGCCTTTAGACTACCGGCCTGAGGACGCAGGGGCTTAGCAGGAGTTGTGTCCTCTCAGAGAGCCCCTGTCATGCTCTCGTTCCAATGTTCATGCTGATGTCCTTCGACATTTTCATGAAGTTGTCACATTCTGAGTATACCATGATCTCAGGGTATACTCAGTGTCTCACACTCTCTCCTTTTTTTCAAGCCGGGGGAGTGTTCATGTGTGTGTGCAAGCATGCATGAGAGACAGAGAACACACACACCCAATGGCACCCAGATCCCGGGGATGTGCTCACATGTTGGGATGTTTTTAATCTCCTGGGGCATGGACTCAAACATTGGTTGTCTGTGTGGGATGTGGCTTCCTCTGCACAGCACTTGACAGTGGTGCTATGGGGCTGGTCCTCACTCATTTTTGTATTTCTAGTGTCTAATAAGCAACGGGCATGAGGAAGAGCTCAGTAAATGTTCTATGGGTGAATGAATGAATAAAAGAATGCAGAATTAAGATATCCAGATGTCGCTCTGATTTATACTCACAGTTCTCTTCCCCCATGCTATCACCTCAGCCAGATGGAGGTGGGATAGTAGGAATTCTGCCACTCACTAGCATGAGATCTCCAACAAGTTTCGAAATCATCTGGATTTGAAAATCTCCATATCACCAGCTCTCCTCCACTTTCATTGGGAAGTCATTCCAGAACCTCTCTGGGAAAATGGTGTCAGTGGGCTTCTACTGGTACCACCTCTCCGTGTCATGCATGACCCTAATGATAATAATTGGGTTAAGGTCTTTTTTGTTTCTTTAAATCCATGAAGAAAGCCCACAGCTGATGAAGTGAGTCAAGTGAGGTTGCAGGTCTCCTTCATGTCAGGTGCCCAGATAAATAGGCATGGGAATAGGAGAGGTGCCTCTTCTTTCTTAGAAACCATGTGCCCACAGCTGTGCCCCCACACCTGTCCCAACAGTCAAAAGGAGGCACAACTGATTCATTCATTCTATTGTAGCCCATTAGGCCAAAGTCACAGAATTGTTCCAGAGTGAGTATGTTGGCTTTAGGCTATTCAATCTTGACTAATATCTCAAAAGTCTGTGTCCTAAGTCGACATAGGAACTTGGTGAGAACATATAAACGTAATAGTAGACAAGCTAAATAAAGTGTACATTGGGACCAGCATAATGGCTATGTCGTTGGACTCCCATGTAGCCATGGTTCAAGTCCCAGACCGGGGTCTTAAACTCATGCTGGATGTGTGTGCATGCGTGTCCAGGATCCCGTGAAGAGGATGGAGGAGAAGGGATTGCGGCGTGGCCATCACCCCTGGGGAGGGGTGATTTCTTGCTTTCTGTTTCTGTGTCTCTGTCTTTCTTTTTTTGGGGGAGGGGAGGGAGAGGTTTTTGCTATAGGGCGTGTGTGCTCTCTAGACAGACAGAGAGAGACAGAGAGACAGAAAGCGAGAAATCGAGAAATCACCCCCCCAGGGGGGATGGCCACGCCGCAATCCCTTCTCCTCCGTTCTCCTCTTGGGATCCTGGGCATGCATGCACTCGTGCCCGGCATGAGTCCAAGCTACTGGGTCCAAGACTCGAACCAGGGTTGACTACATGGGAGTCCAGCGACATAGCCACTACGCTAACTGCTGGTCCCTGTGTCTCTGTCTTCCTGATAAAAGAAAAAGAAAAAGAAAAAGAAAAAGAAAAAGAAAAAGAAAAAGAAAAAGAAAAAGAAAAAGAAAAAGAAAAAGAAAAAGAAAAGAAAAGAAAAAGAAAAAGAGAAAAAGAAAAAGAAAAAGAAAAAGAAAGAAAAGAAAAGAAAAGAAAAGAAAAGAAAAAGAAAAAGTAAAGAAAGTGTATGTTAAGGCAACAACTCCTGCACTCCAGCAGGTACTGAAGGCTTGCTCTGTAACCTGCTCTTGCCAGACACCTCGCCGAATTCGGAAGGCTCTATATCACCTCTACGTGAAAATAACAGTATTAATAATGGAAAGAACTGCACATTTGGAAAGAGCCCATGGAGGCCATTTGGCCCAGTGTCCTGTCCGACCTCCCTGACAGTCGTGAGCGCTCGTGCAGCCTCTTGCACTGTCCGACCTCCCTGACAGTCGTGAGCGCTCGTGCAGCCTCTCGCACTGTCCGACCTCCCTGACAGTCGTGAGCGCTCGTGCAGCCTCTTGCACTACCAGTCGTTTCTAAGCATCGTCTCTTTCGGTCCATTTAGGAGAAAGGGCTAGTTGTTCCCACCAACACCAGCAGCTGCTTTTCTGCTTTCTGTTCTGGAGTTCACAAATTAGGACACGGACTGATGGCAGTTCTCACCCTCCATCTTCTTGTTCAGAGAACAATCAAATTTTGACAGGGAACCTTTTTTTATAAGCCATTATACTGAAATAATGTATGTTCCTGGGGTGGAGCTGAGGTCCTTAGCCAAGTTCAGAACCAATTGGAGCCTGGTGGATGCTGAAGCAACATTGAGCCTTTTAGGGTTCAAGTTCATTTATTATTGGCAAAACACAACTTCCTGTTTTTCAGAGAAAAATTTTTTTAAAGACTCATAAAAAAGGTTCCTGAGGCTTCTTGGACATCAAATGGCTCTTACAAAACAATATTTTGATGAGTTAAGTGTAAATGAATCAGAAACATGTGGATTAAATTTCCCTTAAAATACACAAGGGCTTTGAAATTAAGGGGAAAAAATGCTTGGCAAAACATGTCCTGACTATTACCGAACGCAAAGCCTTCGAATTAAATTTGGAGAGAGTGGACCAACCCAGTTTCCAAGCACATGGACTTTCACTGGAAATGACCATGGACTGCAAGGCACCATCCTCCCGTCCCTTCCCTTCCCAGCCTCCCAGCTTCACGGGAGACATTTCTAGAACGTGACTGTTTCCTATCTGGAAGTCAAGATGCACCTCCCCATATGACACCCCCACCTCTTCCACTCAGGATATTCTAATCCCATCCTTCCTTCCCTGACTCACTTCCTCCTCCTCCCATGGCAGCACAGGGAAGATGTCAGGCAGGAGAAGAATAGCCAGCGAAGATGAACTCCAGATACCCAGATTCTCTCGCCGTGAGTGAGACATGGGGCAAGATAGATGTGCTACACAGATACCGTCTCTCCAGAAAGGGGCAGGCATTAAGAGGACCAAAACGTGATGACCACAGAGGGCAAAAGAGGCCTCTGGGCCAAGCCTTCCGACACCATTTCCTAAACAGCAGTTACTCCTCTGGGATATGTTTCCATGGGCAGAGAATATACATTCTTCAGGAATCTGGATTCTCAGCACAGAGCTTTCAGGTTGGTGCTGCACTCCCCAGCCAAGAATGTGTCTTCCCAGCCCAAAGGCCTCTGCTTAATGTCCTTGCCCATCAGCCAAGCAGAGAGAACAATGGCTGAGGCGGTCTTCAATGCCAAGTCCTACCTGAGGAGGCCGCGTGAGTTCTGCGAGAGCCTCTGACTTTGGTCCCTGGGCTCTACTGGTCCCCCCACCCCCCCAGGGAACTGCATAAGTGGAATCACACCATTGCCAAGCAGCTTGAAAAGACAGGTTTCCCTGCAGCGGTGCTGTGATTTCAGGTCTCCCTCCCACCACCACTTCCCTGTGTCCCACTCTTCCCCTCTGCAGTCTCCCAGGGCTCATTCTGCCCCCGCTCTGCAGAGGAGAAACACATTCATGCAAACATGGGGGTCTCTCCTCCACAACCAGCCGTGGAGTGGTGTTTGATGGGAGCTAGCAAAAGGCTTTATTGCAGTCTGCCAAGGTCGGTACCCAACCATGCCTGTTTTGCTCATGCCCTGAAGCCTAAGTTCCTGTTTAATGGTCTCTTCCTCCATTTTTTTTGCATAACCAAGTGAAGCTTAAAGCCCATCAGTGGAAGCTAGTAGGTGCCTTCTTTAATGACAGTCAGTGTGACACAAACGGCTAGCATCTTCCTTTAAAGCTCAGCGAACAAGTCTGCTCAAATAAATTGACATTATCTTCCGACCTAACTCGCTCAGCTACAAAAGCTAGTTCACATGTTGCAGGGGGCTAAAGGGACCAAAGGGGAGGGACGAGATAGGAGAGTCATTTAATAACTCATCAGAACACAAGCGCAGGCATCCAAAAAGCCTTGAACATAATGCCATGCCCTCCTAGCAATGCAAGAAAAGTCACCTGATGCACAGCCAGCATATTTTGGAAGTTCTTCTAACATTAATGGATTATTCTAAACACGTTGTTCCCAAATCCAGCTCAAATATCCCAGAAGGATTTTTTAAAATATACAGTTTCCAGGCCTCAATCCTAAAAGATGGATTCAAAATCCCACAGATGAGTCCTGGAAACTGTACTTCTCTTAAAAGCCATGAGCTATTGGGTCAACAAGTAGCATAGAGGCTAAAGCATTGGATCCCACGTAGCAGAAATGTGTGGTTAGAGTCCTAGTCCTGGCGGCCTGAAAATTATGCTAGGCATGTGTGCACGTGTGTCCAAAATCCCAAGGAGACTGGGAGAGAAGGGACTGGGGCATGGGCATTCCCCCTGGGGGGTGATTTCTCTCTCTCTCTCTCTCTCTCTCTTGCAAGCATATGTGCCCGATAGCAAAACCAAAAACAAACAAACAAACAAACAAAAAAACCCCTAAGTTATCATACTGACCTGCCCTTGCTCACTTTTTTTTTTTTTAATTAACACCTTTAGGAGCAGAGATGAGTGACCCAGAGATTTAGGGGTGCTATTTCTGCAAGAAACGATGTTTTCCTCTGGGCAAAGTTGACTTAGAGTTTCTCTGAACTCCTCTTTTGAAGGCGGGGTCAGGTCATTTTTTTCTGTTTCCTCTCATTAACTCATCCAGATGGGGCCTTATGGGACCCCTTAGAAACAGTCTTTTTCCTACAGAGAGGAGGAAATCATTACAGTTTTGTTGATACATGCTGAAAGGCTCTTGCATGTAGGCATATAGTTCTCCCAGGCTTCTGAACATTCTGTGCTTATTTCAAAGTTTCCAGAATGGTGAATGGTTCTATAATCACAAGCTAGGTGAAACAGAAAGAACAGAATTCAAAAAGATAAATTTGACTATGTAAGTTTTTGACTTTTGTATATCAGAATATAATGTAAACCAACTGAAATTGTCAAAGAAAACTGGGAGTGGGGGTGGGCAGATGTTGGCACAGTGGTAAGATGCAACACCCTGTAATGCTGACCCACACAGGAGGGCTCTGGATTCAAATCCTCCCCTCAGCTATACCAAGCATGATCGGGACTGGCTGACCTTGCTCACTGATTATGGTGCAAAAAAAAACAAAACAAAACAAACAAACAAAAAAAAAACACAAAAAAACCCTGTTGGAGGTACTGTTTTTCTACATCTGTCTCTGTCCCTCTCTTGCTCACTCATAGAAGAAATCATATTTTTTAGGAAAATTAAGGGAAGTGTTGCAACATACAAAGGATTCTAGCTTTAATAAATTGTTTTCATAAATCTATTCATGAATGGCAATTTACAAAAGAAGAAACAAAATGGCAAAAGAAAAATGCTGTAAGTAGAAATTTAAAATCTGAGAGTTAGAGCAATGTTGAAATCCCACCTTCCCCTCTCAGTTTGACAAAGGTATTTTAAAAGGTTAATATCCAGTGTTCATAAGCACCTGAGGAAACGGGTGGTGGGAGCTGGTGGGAGCACACTGGTTCAAGCTTTCTAGAGAGTTAATATTATCCAAATGTATGTATGTATCCATCAGGACACGCAAGGTTATGCTGTGATAACGAAGAGCTCTCGAATCTCTGTGGCTTTCACTAAGAAAATTTATTTCTCATGCATACTGATTATCTATTATGACACACCCATAGTTCAACCCGGCATCATCTTCATTCCAGCACCCAACTCAACAGAACAGCCCCTATCAAGAGCCTTTATCAGTCTCCTAACAGTGGGAACAGACATGGCAACTCATGGACCAGCACTTAAAGTTTCTGCCCAGAGGTTTTCATACGTCCACCTACATCTCACTGTACAAAGCAAATCAGATGGCCACTCGGGTTCAACAGAACAGGAACATAAAACCTTCCCAGAGGGAAAGGCACCACTGAGAATGAACTAGACAGTTTGGTGAGGGATCATGCATTGCACAATTGCCCTTGACTTGATGATTCCAGGACTTTATGCATAGATCATCAAAGGTAAAAAGTTTGTGAATATTGAAGCCCATCACGATAGAATTGATAATGGTGGGACCAGCAGATGGTGTAGTAGTTACATTGCTGGACTCTCATGTGGACAACTGTGGTTCAAGTCCAAGACCTGGTGGCTTGAGACTCACGCCAGGTACATATGTGCATGCGTGCCCAAGACGGAGAGGAGAATGGAGGAGAAGGGATTGCTACGTGGCCATCCCCCACGGGGGAGTGATTTCTCACTTTCCCTCCCACTGTCTTTGTCTCTCTTAAGTGAGCACACACACCCTAAGGCAAAAACTTCTGGGGGGGGGGAGAGAATTTATACTGGCAAAAAATTGAAAGTCACATAAATCTGCAAAAGTAAAAGATTAGTTAAATAAATTATGTTACATTTCTATGATTGAAAAATGTAGCATTTTTGGGACCAGCAGTTAGCGTAATGGCTATGTCGCTGGACTCCCATGTAGTTGACCGCGGTTCGCGTCCCGGACCCGGTGGCTTAAAACTCACACGGGCGCGTGTATGTGGGTGCCCAAGATCCCGAGAGGAGAATGGAGAAGAAGGGATTGCGGCGTGGCCATCCTCCCTGGGGGGTGATTTCTCACTTTCTGTCTCTCTGTTTCTCTCTGTCTGTCTGGCAAGTGCACGCGCCCTATAGCGAAAACCTCTCCAAAAAAAAATATATATATATATAGCATTTTCCTACAAGTATAATAGAATAACATATGATAACATGGGAACACAGTTAAAATGTTTATTAACACCAGGAAAAACAGAGTGGTATGCATGCATCAAAGTACTCAATAAATATCTGCCAAGTTAATAAACTAAAAAATATTAGAAGGATGTGTATTAAAATGTTCTAGCTCAAGGTACAAAGATTGTGGGAAATTTTCTTTTTCTTCTTTGTGTTTATCTGTATTTTCCTTTCCTTTTTTTGCAATTAACATGTTTTATTTCCATACTGTGGTAATATATACCATAATAAATATAAAGTTTTCTAAAATGATCACAATAAATTTAAACAATAACAAAGGGAGTGTAGTGAGAAGTGGGTATCTTTGCAAGAAACCACAATAACAAGGCCTTCCTGTTTTTGAAAGCCTATAGTGGCCAAGATTCATAAAATAAGTGCCCTTTTCTGGGGTGGTCTTGTTTTATTCAGCCTATAAATTATTTAGGAGCATTTAACTGACCACTTGATTTCTATCCTTTCCCTCCTCTCCCTCTGGCCCTCAGCCATAACTACGTCCGTGGGTCCATTACACTTTTTATCATCAACCTGCATCGATCAAGAAAGAAAATCAAACTGGCTGGGACTCTCAGGGACAAGCTGGTGCACCAGTACCTGCTACAGCCCTACGGCCAGGAGGGCCTGAGGTCCAGGTAAGTGCTGGCCTGGGAACAGCTCGAGAGCAAGCTCAGCGGCTGCTGAGAGGTGGGTGAGCTGGAATCCCCCTTTGCCCAAAGCACCACGATTGCTACTAATTCACTCAAGAGCTCAGTGGATGAGACAGGCTTAGAGTGGCCTGAGTCAGGGGACTAAGGACTCCTTTCCAAAACCTGGTCAAGACCCTCCCTATCTCTAGGCTTAGATTCTTCAACTGTCAAGTTGAACAGTGGACCACGTTTCTTAACAAGGCTACGCTTACAACTTGAGCAAGACAGTTAGTTCTTCGTTATTCGGGGTGATCACACCGAAAGCCACTGAGCACTTTTGGGCCCTGACCAGTGCCACCTGGTCAGTCATGAGACAAATGAAAAAGACTTGAGAGCCGTGTCTCTTCTAGCTGGAACACTTGAAATTTACCAGCACCTTTCGTTGTCATCTACAAACCTCATGGGGCCCAGGAGCACTGGACAGAGGGCCAAAAGTCCAGAAATCAAAGCCCAGTTCTGCCCCTAACTTCCTAACTTTGGGCACATCCTTGCTCTCTCGGTTTCTTCATCTGAACAACAGGACAGAGATTATATTCTGGGGGCTCTGAGGCCCCTTCAAGCTCTGTAAGACACTCTCTGCTTCCCTCAGTCTCTACAGAGCACTGACGACACTGATTTGTACCAACAGAAAACAGCTGTAGGCCGAGGCGTCACCTGATGGTCAAGGGCAGGGCCACCCTGAGCAGGGGTCGTGGGACGCTGTGCAGACGGGGGGCGTTCCCGTCCACGCTTAATGTTTACCAAGTTTAACAAAGCTGTAAACTCGGAGCAGGTGGCTTGCACTCCCGCAGCTGCCCACAAGCATTTGCGCTATAACTGTTCTCTGTTTCACTGCAACCTTGGTGGCTTGCATGTGGCATCCAATTGTGTGTGCAATGGGAACAAAAAGCAATCTGGGAAGTCACTTACCAAATCCCTTTAGCCCACCCCAGATCTGTGCTTTTGGTTGGTGCACGGGCTGGCTTTTTTCTCTGGCTACACACACACTGTCTGCTTTCCTCTCTCCCCAGTCCCACCTATCCCAGCAGGACTTGGGGGGAGTTTATTCCCTCTCTTCGCTTCCAAGTGGCTCATGAGTGGTGTGCTGAATTCTTGGCCTTCTTGGCCTTCATCCTAGGCAGATGACCTGGGTTTGGTCCATTTCTCCACTAAATAATCATATGACCAGGATAAACATTTTTAAAAAATAATTATTTATTCCATTTTATTTATAATTATCTTTTAATTTGTTATAGAGAACACATACTTACCAGAGAGAGAGAGAGTCACAGAGAGAGAGAGAGAGAGAAAGAGAGAAAGGGAGAGAGAAAATGAGAAAGCAACCCTCCAGGTCCAGGACTCAAACCTCAGTCAACCATGTGGGAGTCCAGCACCTTAACCACCGTGCCACCTGGTGGCCCCCGGGGAAATCTTTTAATCCTAATCCCTTGGCCTCAGTTTCTTCATCCGTAGAATCCAAGGGTTGCTTTATATTTGAGAAGGTTCCTTCCTGCTGTAAAATTCTCACCCTGGGTCTGATTTTCTGAGGCCCGTGAGTGCACTGAGTCATTCAGAATGAGCCTGGCAGGAGGGCAGACTCCTCAGCAGCGCTGTGATAGGGTCAGGCCCCCTGGAACTGAAGTGTTCAGGCTGAGCCTCCAGGTCAGAAAGACCCTGTGTGCAGTGTGAGGGGCTGTCACATGCTCTGGTCACATGCTCTGCTACTTCCTGGCTGAGGCCTTAGGCGACTTGGGTAATCTCCATGGCCTCAGTCTCCTTACCTGTGAAGCCTCGCACGTGGAGCAAAGGAGGCGAGGTCATCTATGTGGAGTTCCTGACGTGTAGGAAATGCTAGATGAAAATGCCTCGCCCTCCTTTTCCTCAACTCAGAACTCCAGCTGGTTGGGGAAGAGGAAGAAAATAGTTGCTTCCCCTAGGAGTGTTCTTCAAAAGAAGAATCTTCCAGATTTTTAAGAGACCATGTTGGCAAGACATTTGTTAAGATTATAATCATTTTTTTTAGAAAGGATGCTGAGAATGACATAAAAGCAGTCCAGCCTGTGGCATGGCAGTAACAGGGCTCCGTGGTGCCGAGCCCACATGGGAAGGCCCCAGGTTCGTGTCCTTAGGTCTCCCAGGCACTCATGCCCGCGATCAGGGTGGCTGGGGCTGGAGGTGGATCATGGCATAAGGGCCCTGCTGAAGGTACCCCCCACCCAGAGAGATGAATAAATAAACGTTTAAAAGAAGGAAGTACATAAAAGCCAAACTGTGAAACAGGAAGAGACGAGTCTTGTTTCCCCAACCCTGCATACTCCATCCTGTGTCCCTGCTCCCAAGATTTTTCCCCTGCTATTTGGACCAGGCCACACCTTGGCCCCTGGCCTGCGGGTGAGTGAGGTGGCCGATCACCGGCTAGCAGTGCTCTGTCCGTCCAGTTGTGCTCTTACACCTGGCCTTGCCGGCAGATTAGTAAGGAGTTGTGTTACCACTTTGGGAACACAGGAGAGGTCAAGGACAAAAAGAATTTCACTCCACAGGAATCCTGAGACAAAGAACACTGTTATGTAACTGGCAGAACAATGGAGCTGGGGTCAGAAGGCCTGGCTCTGAGTCCAGATGCTCCCATGTTACTTACGCGACGAAACCTCAGGTTTCTTAACTGTCTAATGGGATCGTCATGAGAATCACATTAGAGGGTGCGGGTGACATAATTCTACAAATGTAAACTCCCCACAGCCATGCATACATTTACAATCTGTAAATATAAATACAGACACATACTTACAGATGTTGTATTAGAGAGTTTGGCATGAGAAGTCAAGGGGACTGAATTCCAGCCCCCGATCCTTCCTCTGATTCACTGAGAAACTCTGGGCCCTTCGCCCCCTTCTCTGGTTCTGGTACTCTCCTGCTCTACACCTCCGTGACTGACCCTGTGCTGTGCCGCTGGGCACCTCACAGTGCCAAGCAAGGACTGTCATGCACAACATCAGTACCACGTCCAGTCTGTGAGTAACTACTGAGAAGCCAGCGCCCTCAGTGGTTCTGGGATGGTGGTCTCACAGGAAGGGTGTGGTTTCAGTGAAGCAGACTCGACAGACAAGGATGAAAGAAAACGCTAGGAAGTGATTTCAGCCTTTGGTGTCTTTTTCTCTCTTTTATAAGCCTCTGGAGCCAGACTCTGTGTTCTGTGTCTGCTAATTCCTTGCTGCAGCCTGAAGCCATATTAGCTCAGAAGAGCATGGAAAGTCCTGAGAGCAGGGAAACACATAATTGCTCCGATCTGGAGGAACCAGGAGGAAGAGAAAGAGCAGGTCCCATTTAAGCCACCAGTTGGGCATTTTGGTGGAGGTTTCAGGAGTGAGGAGATGTCAGAAAGCGCCTATTAACTAGTGGAGGGCATGGGGTAATTCTCATGCTCTTCAAGTTGCCGTCAGGGCTGGGAAGATGAAAAAATCTCTGAAAGGGTATCTCCTTGTGAACTGGAAGCTAAGATGCGTCAGGTGTCACACGGGAAGCACCAGTGGGGCCACTCATCAGGCTAGTCAAGGCCCCCGCTGTCCTGCGAAGGTTCCTGTTTCCCTTCTCAGGGAGTTAAGCAGTCATAAAATGACCCTACTCAATTCTCAAATCCTTGTGTGAGGAGTCTTCAGAAGTTCATGGAGAAATGTCTGTTATGGAAAGAACTGTGCATGAATTTAAAAAAAATAAATAAATTTGCACCATAATAAACTCATGTTTTAATTACATTTTTTCATGATCGTTTTTGAAGTCCCCTCCTATAAGAAATTGTTCTCATTCTGGGAACCGGACCAAAGGTATCCTAACCTATAGGCTAGAGTTCTTAGACAACGTCAGTATGTACAGGAGAGGGGTGTTCTACATCTAGAATACATCCTCTTCAAAGAATGGCTGAAGGAAATGGGGAGATTTATTTCAGAGAGAAAAGGAAGGTACGTCAGGACTGCTCAGGTACTCACAGGGACTGCCAAGTAAAATTAAACACATTTGTCCTAGGAGGCTTCAAACTGGTGGAAAACTAGGGACTGCAATTTAAAAGAGAGAGATTTCACCTCAAAACAGGCTCGATTTCCAGAGGCTTGCCTAGTCTGACCTAGGACAGGATCGGCTTTCTCGGGACGTAGCCTATTAATCAGAGGTGAGTGGCCATCTCAGAGGTGCTCTAAAATTCCTCCCTCAGTGGGATGCTGAAAGAAAGATCACTGCTTCCCTGGAGCCCCAAGATTCTCTGATCCTCTTATGTTTCCTCCCCCACAACGACACACACACACACACACACACACGCGCGCGCACACGCTCATGCACGCTCCACTTCTACTTCTGGAGCCTCCGATCTCTATGATCACCTGGAAAGTAGCTTCTTCAAGCCACTGAAAGGCCACACAGACTCAGCCTGCAGTGTACGGACTGCTAAGACGCCGTGTTCCACAGGCTGAGACCAGATGGGGGTTCACCGTCCCATCGAACCTCAAGGCCGGGCAAAGTGGTGGGTGCCTGTAACCTCGGTGACATGGGGTCTGAGGCAGGAGGACCGCAAGCAGAAGGCTGGCTGAGCAACTTAGCAAGACTCCATCTGGGGCCAAAAAAAGAAAAAAGAGTGTGCCGTTAGAGGGACCGATGGTAATTCCTGGTCAGTTTTTTTTTTCCCAGAAATCCCCATCTATGAGGGGGTCATGTTCCCTGGTTTCTCGCCTTTCTAAGTGGAAAAGGGCCCTATTCACACCCAGGACAATAGTCCCCATTCTGGACAAGGCAGAGGCCAGGAGCGCCTTTGGGGCAGCTCCATAATCTACAGAAGAGAGAATCCACCCATTGCCTCATGTGATCACAAATCAATACACGTTATCCTCTAGGGAATCCATTCTTCCTGAGACATAACTATCCCCAAACCGAGAAGCGACATGAAGCTCAGCCAAACAAGCCACCCTACGTCCAAAAACAAA